CCCCTCTACATAATAAAATAACACAGCCCCAGTCGTCCCCCTTACACCCACATGGAAAATGTAATACAGAGCCCCCTCTCCTGCTTACCTTTTTGCAGGGAGGAGGCTGTGTGAGGAGGCACGATCCTTGGTGATTGAATAGTAAGGTTTGCAGCAGACCTTACCAATCAATTACCGAGTGCCGACACAGAAGCAGCTCTGCGGTCTGCATTCGATAGGACCCACGGGCCGGTACTTTGAGACCACTGTTTTAAACGATTGTCTCTTTGGTGGCTGGGGAGGCCGAGTGGCGGACATCTGATTAATAACAATATTAATGTGTAAGCTCCTATGTGTAGTGATGAGTCCGGGCTTCGTGCGAACGCATTTCACCTAAGTTTGCCCGAGCCTGCTCAAAACTGTGAGCGCCACACTTTCTCCTGACCCAATGAGTGGCGGCAGTTACAGCGGGTGCATTGCCCGCCCCTTTGTGATGTGTAGTTGTAGGTCGGGGAATGCATCTGCCTCAGCTGATTGGGCCAGGAGGGGGAAGTGGCGGTCACAGTTTGGAGCAGGCTCGGGGTTCACACTAAGGCCCCATTCACACCTGACCGTTTTGTAGCGCGTCCTACGCTCGATGAACGCTCTACAAAACGGTCAAAAAAATAAATAGCACTGTAGTCAATGGCCTCGTTCCCACCTGTCCGTATTTCCGCCCGTCCCGAACGCGCTACAAAACGGCCCACGCATGAAAAGGTCCCGAAGCGTTTTTTGCTGCGTATTGGTCCGTTTTGTAGGGCGTTTTCCATTAGTATACTGCCAAGTAGCCTTTGGAATCGCGCGACGGTCGCGCGGCTTTTTTACCGCGAATCGCGGTAAAAAAACCGCATGACGGTCGCGCGACAGACGCGCATATTACAATACGCATAGGTGTGAATGGGGCCTAAGCCCAATCTCATCATTACTCAGGGCTCTCCTAACCCTCTTGTCTTGAATGGTTTTGTAACTCTTCTGTCTCCCTTTTTGTTGTAAAGTGCAGCACAAAACGTTGACAATATATAAATCCTGAAGAATTATAATATTAAAGTGCTCTCTCCATTATCTGTCAAGGGACACAGGCTTATTGGTAATAAGTAACCAAAGGTTATACTGCCACCTACGCACACAAAAATGGACGAGGGGCACAAAGAGAATGTATCCCTTGCCAGTTACACTTGGTGTCCTCAGGAGAATGGACGTCTCCTCCCTTTCTTCTCTTTTCCACTCGGGTTGGGAGATCTTTACATGTGAATGTCCAGCCATTCTGATTGGGAAAAGCTCTGACACTTGCTGGCAGTGTGAAAACTTGTCCCCCAGTTCCTGCCTCTCACACAATCTTATTGGCCAGTTACACAGCCAATCATAGCACCGGGCCAATAGGAATGTTGGGGGCGGAAAGGAGAAGGCAAGCTCAGACACTATCTGGACCTGTTAGAGCTTTGCCCAATGAGAGCGGCCCGGCTATTGGCCATAGATGGAGCATTGACAGCTGCGTGCAAACACATCGGGTTCCAGAACTTCATATCTGCTAGAAATGTTATTTATTCATCTTTCAAGCTATGACGTCACTTTATATACTTTGATTACAGTTGCAGGGACTCTCGTGATATTTTTTTTGCCTCATCGGCCAATTTTTTTTTTTGCTTC